TTTCACTTCCTTCGGCCTTTATAATCTTTGTATTGGGGGTTGTTTTGGCTTTCATAAGAAGGCCAAAGGTGGTGCACGAAATCGAATTTGGTCCCTCCTCAATGAGAGTGGTGAAAATATCAAGAGGCGAATGGAAGCGAGGATTCATCAAAGGTACAATTCCTCAACTTCCACTATCAATCCTGAACTCTGTGATAGCTGTATGCAAGTTGTCGTCGGATCTGTTTCCCGGAAAGGAATTTACGGCCACGTCACTGTCAGTGACAGTGGGTTTGATGAACTTGGTGGGAACTTGGTTCGGGGCAATGCCTTCTTGCCATGGAGCCGGTGGACTTGCAGGACAATACAAGTTTGGTGGTCGGAGTGGTGCTTGTGTGGCTCTTCTTGGGGTAGCCAAATTGGTGCTAGGTTTGGTGTTGGGGAGCTCTTTGGCCCATATATTAAACGAGTTCCCTGTGGGGATACTAGGGATATTGCTGTTATTTGCTGGGATTGAGCTAGCCATGGCTTCAAGGGACATGAATACTAAACAAGATTCCTTTGTGACGCTTATGGTTACTGCAATTTCGCTGGTGGGTTCAAGTGCGGCTCTTGGGTTTTGTGTGGAATGATCATATTTGTGATTCTCAAGCTAAGAAGCTGGACTAGGGATAAGCCTTTCTCTGCCATATGGATGGACACGGCTCCTGAGCAGCCCTGAAAAACCAGTAAAACGTTATTCCTAGCTAGCCATAAGTTCCTATTAATTAATTGTACACGTTAGGATGCACTGTACATGTATATTGCAAGTATTGGTAGTTTTATGAGGGCTAGCTTGTTCTTGGGATTTCGCTATTAGTTGTGTATCTGGGTACTGCAGTTGTTCCTAGCTTTTGCCCTTTGCGTATATCTACGCAGTGTACGTAACTAGAACTCGATTACCAATTGTTACCAATAGTAAGACTTGTTTCAGTTACACATTGCCAAGTTTTGATTTGTAATTTGTTAGCATTGTAAATTTTTATTACAAATAACTAACTTAACTAATTTTTTTAATTTACTCAATTAGTGAATTAACTCTTATATTAAAAATAAGAGATAGTAGAAAACAAGAGTTTAAAATATCATAGCAACATATTAATATATCATACTAGAGAAGGTATTATTTTGATGTAGTAAAATTATTTACATAAATATTTTTTTTATAATTGTGTTTGGCGGGTTGAATGTGAGAATTTATTAATTGGATTCAATTTCTAATAATATTTGAAATGATGCAAGATTTTCATGAATATAACCCCTATACATAATTATATATAAAAATGTAATATAAAAAATACCATGTTTCGATATTATATACATAAACAAACAAAGGAAAAAAAAAACCAGGAAAAAGGCTTTTTCTCATTGCTGTGCCTGGGAGGTATGGGTTGCTGATTCATGGCGACATATATATATAAATAACAAAAATCTAACTTTCCATTATTAGCTATATACTGAGGCATCCGCTTTTGGAATAATATTATTTAATTTATAACTAATTATTGAACGAGAGACAAAGTTTTGTTCACTGAATGGTGGCATCTTTCGGAATTTGACCAAAAGAGAAAACGAAAGTTCTAACCATTATTAGCAGTGTTAATTCCTCCTGTATGTATCCAAAAAGCTCTTCAAACTATTGAAGAACGAGACAAGAATTAATATTAAAATCTATCCCATTTTCTTCGCCACGGAGTATGGTCCTTGATCATGAAAGATATAATATACTACTTCCGGTACTTAATGTAGGAACTCGTTTAATTTTTATTTTGATCCTAAATATAAGACATCAATCCACTTTGTTTCTAATATTTATATATTTCTTTTCAAGATAATCCTTCTAACAGTAATAGTTCTAGCCAATATATTTGATTAACAAGAATATTTTAGGAAAGATAACACCTATTTATGACAAATAACTAATTTAACTTCTTTCTTTAATCTCCTCAAATTAGTCAACTAGTTCTTAGGGGTGTTCAATTTGTCCCGTCCGGGTCCCGGTGAGCTCGGGACGGGACGGGACGGGACGTGGGACGGGGTCGTCCCGTCCCGGGATTTTTTTTTCTTTTAAAAATTATTTATTAATAATTATTATTAGATTATTCAATTTACTTATTAATAATAACTTTTATTTTTATGGTGATTTGTAGCTCTTAAGTTGTAGTATTATCTCAACAAAATCTCCTTCCTCAATAAAATAATTCATAAAGTCATTATATAATTTTTTTTTACGGTATTTTTTTACAGTATTTTTTTACACCTTTTTATGCTATATAATTAAGTTTTCTACATAATATTTTTTATAATGTTTTTATCTTTAAAAGCCCAATAAAAAATAAGTATTATAACATAAAAAAATTCATATAAAAAATTATGGTATCTTTTTTTTTTAAAAAAAGGGGAAGCGGGATATCCCGGTCCCGACGGGACACGGGACAAAATCCCTGTCCCGTCCCTGTTTACCGAGACGGGACCGGGACGGGCCTGTCCCGATCCCGTTCCGTCCCATGAACACCCCTACTAGTTCTTATCATTAGGATAGGAGGTAATATATTTTGTTTATACATATTGGTCAATCAATTCGCCATCATAATCACCTTGGTCTAATGCCAACGCTACACTTTAATTATGGATTAAAGTAAAAACAAAAAAAATGTCAATGGCTCAATGACGTGAAAGCTCTCTTATAAATAAGTTGTGTGAGTTCGACCCCAATTATAATATTAGATTATTAGTATCTGTTTCTTTAATTTAAGAACTGAGTGAAAAGAAAAATAATGGTCTCCATTCGTCCTTGAGAACTCTACTCCTTGTTCTGGTCTGGATCCACATGGTATTTACTTTCCTAGTTACTGAAATTTTAACTGTGCAAAGTAAAGCTCAAACTATATATTATACACAATCAGTTGGGAGGCTCAAAAGTTACCCATACTGTTTTTATTACCGGTACACCCTCAGCTGATCTCTCCGACTCCGAAGGCTATTTCCGCCATTTTTCGAGTGATGTATAGAGTTTACACAACAGATTATTATAAAGTTAGCTAACGATAACCTTTATATATAAATATAGCAACTAGACTTCAGCCAAATTTGATCATGGACAAAGCATGCTTCGTAATATAATTAACTAATGCCAGTCAGTTGCCCGCTTAGTGGTAGGGCAAATCTTGTCTAAGTCGCAGCTTAAGGCATCACTTTGCGATGGTGATAAAATAAATTACTCTTCCCGTTTTAAATATAAGACTTACTACCTCCAGTCCTAATTATAACAACTAATTAATTAATTTGATGAGATTAAGAAAATAAATTACATTAGTTATTTGTAATAAATGTGTATTGTCTTTTCTAAAATATCCTTGCTAATTAAGTGTGTTCGCTAGAACTATCATTATTAGAAGGACTACCTTGAGAAAAAATATATAAATATTAGAAACAAAGTGGACTGAGATATTATATTTAGGATCAAAATAAAAATCAAACCAGATCTTATATTAAAAACCAGAGATAATATTTTATAATAAAATTATATTATAAAATAAATCTTATATTTATAACTGAAAATGTATTAGTTGGCATGCTAGTAAAAAGGGGAATAATTAGTGTTAGATTCTTCTTCTTTTTTACCTGAGTAATTAGTGCAGGCTTCAGGTATTATTCCAAAAAGTCAGCTTCATATTTTAAGTATTCTACGGAAAGATAAATAAATAATGGAATGTCGGATAATTATGATGATTTTTGTGTTTGTTTAATTAAAACGATTAAGTGACGTCTTTAGAAGTTTCGACTTATGATTTTAAAAAAAAAAGAAGAAGAAGAAAAAAGAATTGACAACTGAATTTGATTGGGATCTGGCATGTCCTTTTGTTCCCCTTCTCCTAAGATTCCGTGCATCTTTAGTGCACAGTGTGATTGTGCTCTCGGCTGACAGTGTTTCTAGTCTGAAGCAGCTAGCGCACAAATTTTCTTGGCGCCAATAAATAAGAAAGGAAGAAATTAAGAAAAAGAACAAGCACACGCTAATTTTCATACACACACAGGAGGCACTATAATTAGTACTGTATCCGGTTTTAAATATAAAAACTAGTTAATTAATTTGAATAAATTTAAAAAATAAATTAAATTAGTTATTTTTAATAAATAGGTGTTATCTTTTTTAAAATGTTCCTGTTAATCAAGTGTATTGGCTAGAACTATTATTATTAGAAGTATTATCTTGAGAAAAAAATATAAAAATATAAGAAACAAAATGGATTGAGATCTTATATTTAATATCAAAATAAAAAATCAAACGAGATTTTATGTTAAGTATCGAGATAATAGTTGGATTAGGTCACAAATGCTATTCATGAGAGTGTCCGTGGTCAGCCACATAAGTGGGAACGATACGAGTCAATGGGAAGGATGATTACGATTTTAATTATTAACCAAATTATGTGGTGACATCACACTTAAGCAACATTTTGGCGCCATAATAAGCCTATCAACTTGTTCCCCCATGATATGAGCCTACCTGATCTGCTCCACATACACTATTATTATCACCATCCTCATGCTCAAGCACTCGACTTGTGAGTGGAAGCTGCCCTTCAGCAGTGTCTCTAGCTATTCTTTAATTTTGGAATTCTTTTTAAATGATTTTTTTTGGAGCTTCTTTTCATCTTTACATTATCATAAGATGAGAGGCATTTTAATATTTTATTTGCAAAAAATAATTTACTTTTAATTTTTTTTAACAATTTAATATTCTAAATGGTTGAGTTTTTTTTTTCTTAACTTAGATTTAGTACTCTTCTGTCCATCTTGTTTTACATTCAAATTTTAATAAAATACAACTTCGCTATCTTAAATATATGAATTAGTTTTTTTTTTTGAGCTGAAAATATATGAATTAGTTAAGCAGCTTGTTTCCAAACTCCTTCAGCAAGTTATCCTTATAAATAGCCCTTGCTCCGCATTTATCATCACACTTGAATATCCCTCTAACAGCATCCATGGCGACTGAAATCCCTTCAATTCCAGACCTTGAAACAGTCCAAGTCTGCCCCCACACAGTTCACGCCGATTCAACAAATGGTTTCTGCTCCACCGTCATCTTTCAGAAAGTGAAAACAAACTTGGTTTTCCGTTCAAAATGGGCCGAGTTGAATGGAGCCATGGGGGACCTTGGCACTTACATACCCATCGTGTTAGCCTTGGCTCTAGCCAGAAACCTCAACCTCGGCACCACATTGATTTTCACCGGCATCTACAACGTCATCACCGGCGCCATCTATGGCGTCCCCATGCCTGTCCAGCCCATGAAGTCCATCGCTGCCGAGGCCCTCTCGGAGACCGACTTCGGGGTGCCGGAGATCATGGCAGCTGGAATTTTGACCGGCGGGGTCCTACTGGTATTGGGGGTGACGGGGTTGATGCGGCAAGTGTACAAGCTGATTCCTTTGAGCGTCATCAGGGGAATTCAACTAGCACAAGGTTTGTCCTTTGCACTGACTGCCGTTAAATACGTTAAGACAACGCAAGACTTACCCAAATCTAAATCTCTGGGAAATAGGCACTGGTTTGGTTTGGATGGTTTGGTTTTGGCCATTGTATGTGTTTGCTTCATTGTCATAGTGAACGGAGCTGGCGAGAATCATGGGTGTGAAACTAGAGATGGTACTGATGATAATTACGATCTGGGTGATCACCAACAACGGGTTGAAGTTCGAAGAAACAGGACAAGCCGAGTAAGAAAGCTGATATTCTCACTTCCTTCTGCATTTTTAGTTTTTGTATTGGGGGTTGTTTTGGCCTTCATAAGAAGGCCTACGGTTGTGCATGAAATCAAATTTGGACCCGCCTCTTTAGAAGTTGTGAAAATATCTAAACATGCTTGGAAGAAAGGATTCATCAAAGGTGCAATTCCTCAACTACCACTGTCAATTTTGAACTCTGTGATAGCTGTTTGCAAGTTATCCTCAGATCTGTTTCCAGGGAAGGATTTCTCAGCCACTTCACTTTCAGTGACAGTGGGACTGATGAACTTGGCGGGAAGTTGGTTTGGTGCTATGCCTTGCTGCCATGGAGCTGGTGGACTAGCAGGACAATACAAGTTTGGTGGAAGAAGTGGGGCTTGTGTGGCTCTTCTTGGTGCAGCCAAATTGGTGCTGGGTTTTGTACTGGGCAATTCTTTGGCTATTATTTTAAACCAGTTTCCTGTAGGGATATTAGGCGTATTGCTATTATTTGCCGGGGTTGAACTAGCCATGGCTTCAAGGGACATGAATACTAAACAAGATTCTTTTGTGATGCTTTTTTGTACGGCAGTTTCGCTGGTGGGTTCCAGTGCGGCTCTTGGGTTTTTGTGCGGAATGATTGTGTTTGTGATTCTGAGGCTAAGGGGCTGGACAAAGGGTCAGCCTTTTTCTACCATTTGGACGCGAGAAACCCCTGAGCAACCCTGAACGCAGTCGTCAAGTGTGTATAAATTAAAATAATTATTGCTTCATGCTGTTGTTCTGGGTGCTTCTTGCCTCTGTATGTGGTATGAAAATAAGACTATTTCCGGTCCTAAATACGAAGTGGATGTTATATTTAGGATTGGAAGCAGTATATGTTGTTGCTAGTGTTGGTATCCGTTGTCGATATTGGTATTTTCTGATAGAATTTCTATCTGTGAAGGGGTGGTTGCAGTAATGGTTTATAGCGTTTTGCTCTCTGATGAGTAGCGTACGGATACTCGGACTATGGATGCGTAGAACTTAATTACCGATATAAATGGTCTGTTCATTTTGTGTGCAAGTTTCCCTAGGCATGTAGTTTTTTTTTTTTTGAGTGAGATGTTTTTTGTTTTTGGCCAATTAGGCAAATTCTTGATTTTCATGATAAGAAGTATAACTTTCCATTATGAGATAATGAGTTTAAATTTGTCCACTGAGCTAAATGGTGGCATGCATCATGACACCATCACAGCTTTTCGAATTTGCCCAAAAGCACAAAGCAAGACGAATTTACCATTATTAGCAGTGTCCCCTTTTTTTTTTCCTTTTAATCCAATAAAGCTGAATGGAAATAATTATGATATTAATTGATACCAATAACCATGAGTATATATGATTTTTTCTTTGAGATATTCTCCCACCAAATGATCTCCCCTAGTTCCTAGCTATTAGCACGGAGAAGGATAAAAGTGAATATTAAAACTTACCCCAATTCTTCACCATGGAATATGGTCTGATCAATATGAAAGATGAAGCACTATAAACATTATCATCATTCTCATTTCAAAATCTTCACATAGACAGCCATATTCACCCACTTTAAATATCATATATTTAATTTGCATCTTTTCTGCTAATTAGGATAATCGATTCTTAGCATTTTTATTCACAGCCTCGGACACTAAATAATTTCTTGATTACGTTGTTAAGCAGGAAGTGTCATAATTATATAGCTCTCCTGAGACGTAAGAGGTTGGAAAGACCAAAGAGCTCATAACACATTCAGAAAAAGCACTTGTGAAATCTAAAGATGAACACTAATCATATCCTTGAACTTGAATGAAGGAACCCATATACATTCTCTTCAATCATAATCACCCAAATTGATTACCAATTGTGCCTTTCAGGTCTCTAAAATCATTGTCTAGCCTCCACTCTCTAGTTCTGCATATTTGGGAGCATGACTCATTCCTCAAATATGATTTCTCTCTTTGAAACGAACGGTTACTGTTACACATATACGAATTGGCACCCCACTTGGTTTAATGCCATCTTTACGAGCTTGCATTTTAATCATGAATCATTATCTTACATACATTGCATCCATTAATTATTGTTATTTGTCAGACTCACAATCATATTTCGTGCTTCTTGTCTCTAGATCCATGTATCTCCTCACGGTAAAGCGTTGAGTACGGTTTGAACCCAAAAAAAAAAAAAAAAAGAGTGCGGAATTATGTAAATTAACAGCGGCTTAGACTATCATTATTCTTACAGTATAGCTTTTTAATTGGTTGAGGTTTCTGTTTCAAAACTAATTAAGGGATAATGATGAACATTGTTGAGTGCCATATGTGAAGGCCGGAAAATTACTCTTGATTTTTTTTTACCATTTATAGTATAAACGCGAATATATTTCTTTAATAGATAGTACAAAACAACAATATGGCTAAAATTGTTTTTTTTTCATAACCTTAATATTTAATAATAATTATTTAAATTTAACTTGAGCAATGAAAATTTATTTTTAATTATTAATTTTTTAATGTTTAACTAAAATATTATTGTTCTGCTTTATTCCTTTTAAATTACTCAGCTTGCCAAAATTAAAAGGTAAAATTTAGATGGATGAAATCTAATAAAAGAGTTCATTCACCATAAATAAACAGAAAATTCCAATATATACAGATTTTTATCGCGCAGGCCAGCATCTTGTTATCCGTCGACCGTCGTACCCTTGTCAACATGTCAAATATACATATATAACACACACACACACACACACACACATAGTAATCTGCAATCCGAGAGGTCAAAAGAAGTCTGAGTATGCCAACAATTTTCATGCTATCCAAATGGATTTCCTCCTGTCTTCGGAAAAGAATTGAGAGAGTAGCCGGGAGCCATATATCCTCCAGTTGAATGTTGGAAGGCTGTTTCACCATTGAAGCTGCCAGCCCTTCGAGGCCTGAAAAATATTAACAAGCAATTAGAATTTGATTCAATTCACGTAAGTGCTGAATTATTGTAGTTAGGCAGTGGCTGTTACAGCCTTACAGGAAACTCTCATAATGAACAGGAATGCGCAGTCACGGGATCGTGCAACTTAGATCCTGATGAGATCTACTTGTAGAAAGGTCTGGTGAAAACAACCCATTCTAATCTTCCAAAGAAGTCTTGATTTGATTTTACATATGGAGCCTATTCATCATGTAAACCAAATTGCATAGTGACCACATTCCTATTTTTATTGGAGATAATCTTATTCGAAAACTATTCAACATTAAATTTGAGCATTTCTCCTAATATAATTTAAACTTTAATTTGCTATGTTATGAGAATTAGTCATTTCTACTAGACCCATATAGTGACTGCTTATTTCTTCTCTTTTCTCGTATCAATAACTTTTTGGAAAAACCATATTGGAGGTACTTATACTTTTTTATAATTTTCAATTTGATATCTATGTTTTTTGTTCTTAACTAAATCTTTAATTTTGCTCTATTAACATCATTAATTCTTATGTAGAGACTAAAAATATCAATAGAACAAAGTTATAAGAGCTAATGTTACTAAAAAGATAACATTAAATGTTTAATTAAAAGGAAAAAAATACATAGGTACCAAATTAAAAATTGAGAGAAAGTATAGGTACCTTCAATATGGTTTTTCCTAACTTTTTTATTGCTAAATAGGTTACCCCTTTTTAGTAAAAAGAATATCTTTTACTTTAGCGTAAAAGCCAAGGAGAAAAGAGTGGAAGCTTTTATCCCTGCTCCTTTGAAGCAAGTTACGCTATTTATAACTTAGAAATGGTGTTTTCTGATATGGCCACCATATATTGGGAAATAGTTTTTTGGGGGGGGGGGGGGATCGAGCATGTTTCATCGCTTATAGCCGTTATTTTAAACAAGAAGAATGGGATGTACCTGGCAGTTTGCATATTATTGTTAACTTGCTCAAAGTATGCGCCTGAAAGCGAAAATAATCAACACTGTAACTGATGAAGAAGAAAATTTTAGAGAAAATAAAAAATCTCAAGGGCAATACCAGAAGGAAATCCAGGAGTGAAGGGAGATTGCGGAGGCACTGAAGATGCATAATTTGGGGATTGAGGTACCATCGACCCTAAAGCCCCCACGCTTGAAGCGCGCACTAATCCTGCTCCAGTTGGCATAGCAGTTTGTGCACCACGCAAATTTGCCATGGTAGGAAACTGTGGACAAATACCACCTTTGGGGGTTAAGATAGTTGTTTTGAGAAATTCAGTTGTTACACCAGCGACCTTTTACTTACGCAAGACATATCATTGAAGTTGTCTCTCAATATCAAACCTCTTTTTTAATGTCATGGAACAATTTCGTGAAAGGAATGAAAAGGAAACAGAACCAACAACAGATGATAAGCATCCTTCCAAAACAAACCAATTGAACAAGATTTTAAAAGAACTTTCTAAATGTCTCTTATGGTTTGCATGTGAATAAAAACTCCACATGATAACATTTAATAACTTTCGCCTGAAAATATGATTTTGTATTTGAATTCCAACTTCAATACAGATTTACAGCATTAAATAGCTCGTGCTTTCTCCAAGATAAATATGATTATCTAATAAAGTGCAAGAAACAACATCCTAACTGCAGAATCTCACCGTACACCCTCAAAGCAGAAATAAAACGAGATGTGGATTGATTCCATGCTATACTTGGTATACAGTTAGCTGGATATTATTACGTTTGGCTCTATATGGTATAAAAATATTCACAACTGCCAGCTCCAGGACTATTTATCCCTCAATTTCTTTTATGTATGCAAAAGACAGTTCATATCTCATTAAGGGAAAATAAAACAAGCATTTGACTCATAAAGGTTTCAAAGCATGCAACGAAACCAGAAGCAAGGACAGATCAGATCTGCACACAAAATCAGTCTTCATATTGTACGTACTGCAGATGCAAGGACTCGAGGTCTCCCCTCAGTTGCATCAAATGGGTTCGTGGACTTTGTTGCAGTGGGAAATGCCGAGACTGGCTGTAAATGTAGAATCGTATTAGCTCTGTACTATAGGTCTAAAAGTTTAAGATCAATAGAGAATACATATAAACTCAATGAGTTGCCTAACATACTGCTGCATTAGAATAATACTGCAAGCCGTATCCCATACAATGAGGCTGAAAATTCTGCCAGCCTGCTTGCGGTGCAGGGCCTGGTAAGTAGCTAGTAGTAAAGAGATTCTGCAGAGAATTCATTCATGCGTTAAGGCTCTTTTTATTATTATTTTTTCAACGCACAAGAACAACACATCATTTTGTTACCGCTGGAAGTTCCTTTCTTCCAATAGACTTGGTTTGGGTTATCCTAGGATGGGATCTGACATCAGATCTGGTGCCTTGAGCAGGTTTTGATGCGGGTTCAAGAGATAGTTCCATAAGAGAGTTTGAAAGGTCCTGCGCTTTAGGATCAACTTCTGGCTGTATATAATAACAAAAATGTAGATAATTAGCAGCCATGTACTGGCAAACAGGCAAGAATGCATACGCTTGCAGGCTTTCATATCGTTCGCTTTTGCAACTTCTTCTCAATACTGTCGGACGCGAAAACTCAAACATTTTATCAGATAATAGAAAGTTTTAAGGAATATCTCACCTGATTAAGCGAAGGGACATCTCTGACTGACGGACTCATTGGTTGTGTCGCTGAGCTACCAGCTATTGAGGGTTGCGTCAGATCAGAATCACTGGTTGATGTAACCGAGCAAACACCAATGTTGTTGGGAAGTGGGGTTATCTGGCCTGCTGACGTCGGCGGTGCTAAATCCACATCCACGGAGATATCTTCTACTCTTGCAGTTGGAGTATCATTATCAGCAGTGCGAACATCAGACAAACTACTGGCTGTTGCATACAACGGACCAGACAATTCAGAGACTAAAAATTCTATAGCATCTAAAGGTTTAGTTGCTGTCTCTGTTGTAGAACACTTCGAGGTATGTGTGTTTGGGGTTTGAGAAGCCTCCTTTGCAAGGGAAGTTTCAAACGGTGCCCAGTCACTTCCATCATTTGATTGAGATGTAGACTGAGCTTCCGGTGCAGTTGCAGAATCAGAAACCCGTGATGTGACGACAGTCAAAGTCTGGGTTTCTGGGTTTTCCTGTTCAGCAGGATTCTCCTTAACGGATCCCTCTCCACCGGCAGGTGCACCCTTCTGAAATTGAGGTTCAACAGAGACTTCAGTTCGAGTTGAAACAGCAAGTACAACGGAATAATCGGGCGGAATACAAAACAAGAAAAGGTATTACAAGAAATCAGAACTAGAAGAAAGAGATAATAGCAATTAGCAAGGGAAAATGATTTCAATAGTAACAGCTCAAAAGAAAGATGAACACACCTTCCCTCTGTCCACATGCTTCTGTACTTCAGGTGAAACCGCTGTTTCCTTTGATTCTGTGCTTGAAAACCTGCGACTTCTAGATTCATTGTCTCGGAACCTATCATCAACAACCTCGATTTTCACAGGATTTCTTCTGTGGTTCCCATTCCTCGAGGCTATAGGACTTCTTCTGTCCTCATAATAATACTTGAAACTCCTGTCCTCGTTTCGTGAACTAGGACTACGCATATCATTTCTATCTTCATAACGTTCGCTTCGGGAAAAACTGAGCTTCCTGATATTGTAGGAATCCTCCTTGTCATTCTGAGTGGAATAAAATAAAATATTTTTCTGTCATCTGTCATTGTCCAAGAAGCACATATTGACAAGGACACAAAACACGTCAAACTGATTGGTGTCTAAATACAATTTGAAGTGCCATGAGTATCAGACCGAAGAGGACTCTGTTTTTCTTGTGTATATATAAAGTCCAGAACTTACCAATCTGACTCTGGGAAGATTATCTTGGGTCCTTTCACCGGTGAATCTTCTATCCACGTAGACTGACTTGATAAAATCGCGAAGTCTTGGTATGTTACTGAAAGCGACCACATGAATTAAAACAGACGCAGACAATGCATGCAGTGCTATACAAAATCAACGAGCAAGACTAGCAAATCAAGTTTTACTTGGTATCGGGATAAGAATGACGATGAGGATCCCAGTCTTTAAAATATTTCTGCTTTGCTTTCTGTAAGTGGAGTTAGATTTTATTACAAAGTTAATAAGTGGTAGATTTATGGTTTTGGAAGAAAAATAGATGATCATTCTCACTTCATTGCCGCCTGCCTGAAGAGCAGTGACTTCTTCTGCAGAAAATTTAGCCATTGATACTGATTTTACTCGGTGGTTAAACTCTCGTCTGCATTTCATGCACCTAGTCAGCAATTTGAAAGATGTAAAACAGACAGGTAAACTGTTAATACGCACTGAATTCCGCTGCAATTTGTGCAGACGAATGTCCAAAAGGTTGTGCAGACATATTGTGGTCCCTGATTCAGAAATGCATGTCAATCCAGGTACAGATAAGAAATGTCTTATTATGAAAGAGATCAAATTCTGTTTTCGAGAGAATTGCCCAAAACTTTAAAGAAATAAACAAGAGAGGTTCATACCAAACTATTGCAGTTGACACATCTCCGATTTTCAGGAAGTTTCGAGAGACTTCGAATTTCTCTTTCGATTTTCCCATCTTCTTTCATCCGAGATCCCATCTTTCTAGGTTCGACAGCTCGAAGTTATTATCGTCTATCAAGTAGCCATATTACAAAAAGAACTGTATTAAATGGATAATATGAGAGTCAGGAGACTTTTCTTTTATGCGGAGAGTTGAGAGGATTTATATTTTGCAATCTACAAACATATCATGCAGGTTGCCATGCAGAAGTACATCAAAGGCCCTCCAAGACATGAGCATTGAATTGGTTGAACCACATCTTTCATTCAAATTTTCCTGAACATTCTGTTCTTCTATCTCCGGATATGAAAAGGCGGGGAAATTCACCAATCTTAAGAAACACAACCATTATTTTTTCCTCTTTTCCTTGTTTTTGTCAATGTTTATTGATAATTTTCTCACTAAAAAAGCCAGAGAAGGAAAAAGCTAATGGAAAACGAACCTGCTCATTCATTGACGATGAATACCCAGTTGCGCAGCCATTATAAGAGAAGAAACAAGATAGAAGAGGATAGAATTGGAAGGAATGTGAATGATAAAGGTAGGAACGAGGATTTTCGAGAAATGGGGATGGAGGGAAAGCTGCCGGCAATAACGGTAGCGCGTAATTTAATTACCGTTGAGCTCAACTGCGCAGGAGCCAGGAGGCCTCATTTCTTTTATGGGATTTTTTTAAAAAAGATGTAGGGGAAATCTCATCATGTTTTTCTAATTCAATAATCTATTGGTGGATTTTCAACTTATTACTTCGTTGAAAATGGTTAAATTTGTACATACCATTTTTATTACTTATTTGTTTGTTGGGAGGTTTTTCTCGAAATTAAACGGGATTTCAAAACAATATTTTCAAAACTAGAATGGCAGTTTAGAGTTCATTTGATTTTCCTTTTTCTCAGTAGAGTTTTAATCTTAGATTTCTATTAAACTGGAATTAAAATAAATAATCAATAATCAAATATCATTATATTCTTCGAGATTAATTTTATTGGATGCAAATTCATTGGCATTTTGCTCCAAAAGATGAAGTGATAAACCAAATAACAAACCGCCACAGCACCATTAGTCATTAGATTCCATTTTCCCCGTTTATTGATTCTTTTATTGTCTTCTTTGTTATACTTTTCTTTCTTTAACTTTACTTTAAAAAAATTCGGTACTATTCACGAAAATAGAAGGCTATGATTTAGCAAGTAATTTTTCCCCCCAGCGTGCCGTCGCGGATTCACTGAACTAGAGCCTCAAGTCCTTGGTTGAAATAGAAGCATTAAACAGCAACGTCATACCAGCAATTGCGTACGCACTGGGTCGACAAAGTACCGTACACCAAGTCATTGCCAATTCATCATATAAGAACCCGGGCACATTAGGCTTAGGAGTATGGACAGAGGAAACTATACAAATATTTTTCTTGCTCTTTTTTTTTTTGGCCAAAATGCAAATGATTTTTCATATGCGCAGCTCCGAGATCATGGGCAGGGTCCCCCCCCCCCCACACAAGATGAATAGGTGGAAGATTGACTGACCGAGTTTAGTGGATAACGTACTAATGCTACACGCTGTTATACGAATGATGAGCTTACTATCACCTAATCCATCACAAACACTGATTTTCCATTCAGAGGGATGGTTGTATCATTATTCGACCAATTTCTCTTCACATATTAACATTTGAAACTCAGTTTTCGTCCCGGGAGGGTGGGGGAGGAGCAGGAAGAGGAGCGAAAAAAAATCTGTACAAAAGTGGGCAGCCAAATTTCCATGGCCTCGAGCAGATCAGTGCATCGGTCCTACCGAACTGAGCAGATCTAAAGCTGGGGGGGAAAAAACTCGTATTAGAGCAACAAAATCACATCTGCCTCACTGCTCTCAGCACTCCTGGTTGAAGTTCACTACGGGAATATCCACCACCCTTGAAGTAAAAACTAGACCTATGTCTAGCAAAAACAATGCCGAGCCTAGCACTTCGCCTCTTTTGCCACAAATTGAACGAGTCCATTCAGTGGTCTACCCATCACTGTTCAAGCACTCAGAAGCCTTCACAGCTTCAGCTGTCATGAGAGCAATCACGGCCTTGTGAATTGCAAGATCTGCTCGGTGGAGCAACCTTTGCGCCCTCTCTCTCTTTAATTTAGCCATGCGATGAGCATGCTGAGCCGCACCAGAGGGGTCATGCAACCTAAACTCCTCAAGATCTGAACCATCCAGTTGTTCAGTCTCATGGCTATAAGGCCCATCCAATAGGCACTCCCTGTTGCTTGGCAAGTCGTCATAACCCATATTCCACCTATGAACCCCATTTCTCTTTCCTGACATTCTCTGGTTGAAAGAAGCCATCATTTGCGAATCATTATGATACATAAACGACCCAGATTTCTTTGACTTGCTATGGTGAAATTTGGAGACATTATTTCTATCAAATCCATTTCTGCTTGTTGTGTAATATGCCATGCTGCTAGCTCCCCTTGGTGAGAATACCCTTGGTGATGTCTGAGGCAATGGAGAATCATCCAAAGAATCATAATTATAGCCTGGGTAAGAAAACTTTTCATCACCAAATGCAAAGCCGTTCTGTCTTCTTCCTGACAGATCAACAGTCACATGTTACAAAAAAGCAACATTCATTAACCACAACACAAATATAAGCAATTTCATCAAATACTTACCAAAGGTATGAAAACCATCTTGATCTGCTAAAAAGTTGTGTGTATGCCCAGAGACTGAAAATTTCTTTTGTGATCGCTGTTTTAATCCCTTGTTCATCACTTCTAAGCCCCTTGGTTTCAAACAGAAAGCAAACATAGGTGGCTTCTCCAAAGTTGCAGCTTTATCCAGGCAGCCATTAGGACTACGTATATTGTTCTTGGTAATAGCTACTTCCCACTCTTTCAATTGTTGTTGATACCTTTCCCACAGAGGAGGCTGAACGGATAATAGTAATTATGATCTCATATTTCAAGAAATTAATAATTGAATATGCAGATCATGAGAATAGAATAAGAGAAAAAAGTAAAATAGAGTTTGTAAATTTTAGTTGAGAGGAGTAAAACGAACCTTAAGAACAAAGAGTTTCACCAATGCAAGAAAAAACAGAACAACAGCAGAGGATAAGGAATCCTACCAAAAATTCTGCGCATAAAATAATTCCAATCTCATGCCCCCCAAAGAAACCACTTGCAAAACCCGAAGCCAAAAAACAACTCTTTCCCAAACAGAAATATGGAGAAAGCACTCTTCCATGGGACTTACATTAATTCTTGCGGCAAAACCTCTAAACAACTCAGAAATCACATATACCAGCTAACCAGATACCCATTAAGATGCTAGCAGTCTATTAGGTCATGTTTGGTATGTATGAAAAACTGCCATGAGAGGGAGATGGATGGAGAACTCCTTGTCCTGATATGCTTGGTACCCATTATTTAAGTTACTAAAGAACTGGTGCCTCCCTCATACAAGAGAACCAAGCTTCCTTCACTTTAGCTAAGACAAGGTTCTTCCAACCAAAAAACAAAAAACAAAAAACGTATTGCTAACTTTGATCTGATTTGTAACAAAAAATGTCAACTGATTGCCCCTTCTTAATCTAAAATATTTCAATGTTTAAAGTTTAAAAAATAAGTATCATTTAATAAAAATCTAAACGCCATTTCTCTTAAAAATGTTAGCCTTCTAGTAATACCAAAATAATGCCCTATCATTTTGAAAACTCAATTTGGGCATTTTAATGGAAGGTATTCATGTCATTTGGTCACTTTGACTCCCTTCTTTCTTTTAGTTGCTTCATACCAAGCTTCCAACGCAAAACAGAAAAAGGGACAGAAAATTTAGCAAGCATATTTCTAGCCGAAAAATCACTTTTCACGAAAGCCTCCCCCTCTGCATTTCCTTTAAAAATGGCTTCATCCAAACAAACATGACCTTAGAGATCTGCCACGCAGGTCATGACGGAGAAAAAATGATGCACTACAAAACCAACATTTATCACAGAAATATTTTATTTCCAATTTTTCCTAGTTACTTTGATCATTTGCTATCTATTTGTTTATTAAAACTCCAGTGTAAGAAAGTTGTGTAAGAGTGTTTCACACCTGACACGGTGCTTTAGGGAAAATAATTCTTCATAGTGAATATGCCCATTTTTATATTAATTTTATAAAGTTAGAATTGCCAGAACTAAAGGATAAGTCATTTCCACTACAACAGATTTTCAAGAGATTAGCGAATTTTGCATCATGCCTGCGTTTGTGCTGGAGGATAGGAATAAGTTCCTTGTCCCCAAAACATAAATGGCAAAGCAGCAATGAGTTTCAAGAACACCCTACAGTTGATTAAGACTGGAAATCACATTTAAAAAGATAGTTTTAAACAATCACATAACCATCAATAAGCGCCCAATAATCTAGATACTTTCACATGGAATCCACAACAACTTATAAAATCTACTGTCCTTTAAAAAAGGCTTAAAAAAGACCATCTATTAAGATGCTACACTCAGCAATAGCTTGAACAGTTTAGCCTTAGCTTTGAAAGGGGGCAAAACATAAATGAGTTAAGTAACAAAGCTAAGTATTGATCAAGCACATAATGACAACTTCTGTTTCATCTCTCTCCTCCGACTTCCATTCCCTATTCATCTTTACAAGCAAAGCATATCACATTATGTGGGATATTCTTAAAATTTAAAATAAAATGCCAGTGCCTGATTAATAAGGATAGTTTAGAGAGTACCTGGAAATGTCGAATCAAAGCCATTCCCTTCTTCTTTCTTCTCTGCTGCCAATGCTCATAGATAGTATGGACAACATACAAGGGCCTAATATCAGGTATGAGCTCCTCTATTTCATTTGTAGAAAACTCAACACGTTGTTGGGCATATGCAGCCTTTTCAAACATGTCCATTGTCTTCTCAAAAATTTCTTCAGATATACCTTCACATTCACTGTTGTCTTTTTTAGAATTTCGAATGTCAAAAAACCACTTCTCATCCTCACTATCCATGTCATACAAGACACGTAATGGATCCAAAGCCATCTCAACATCTGTTTCAACCTGATGGAAATACCTAGAACTACGAACAAATGCAACTTCAGTTCCATTGTTGTCATTCTCTTTTAAAAAGCGAACACCAGGAATAGGTATATTTTTTACTGAAGCAGCACGTATGTTCCGATTATAGCATTCCTGATGCATCTCCTTGAAGAGAGCCCACTGACTCCTCTCAGTAAATTCCAGTACCCAATTCTTACCTCCTTTCCACATCATAGCATGTGTGTAACGATTTGTTGATCCAGGCTGAAAAAACTGATGGGCTTTATATGAATACCTTGTAATCCCAGAAAGTTTTACAGAAAGTTTCCACTCATTATGATCAAAAAGCTCTAACACAACCTGCGCACCAGATTCTCTCCAACCCTTCTCACCAAGGGTAATCAGCACATTTGCATCACAATATAAAGAATCAAAATTCTTTTCAATGCTTCCAGCAACATCAGATGACTTTCTCTCATTTGCTTTTCTAATTCGTTTGTGAGGAAACCCTTTTTGATTATGGCTTTTGTCCCTTGAACTACAATCATACCCATGAAAAGGCAAAGAATATGACACTTGTGTTCGAGGCTTCTTGGGTCCATTACTAAAACCATTGTGAAGAGTGTCAGCCTTTCCGTCTGACCACCCATGAGATGATAACCCAAATGATGAAGAGCTATTTCTGTTCCTGTGCCAAGAACTTCTGGGTGCAGTTGGATTAGGGCTTGGAATGAAACCTCCATTTATATTCCAAGACAAATCAGAAGAGTGCTGAGCATCATGCAAGTCACACTCCATAGATTTATCAATACGGTCAGCTGAAGGTAATTGGATACTGAGATCACCCGCAAAAGAAAGGGACAAATCTCCAACCTTATCCTCACCAATCAAAGAACTGGAGGGTAAAGGGCAATGTTCTGACCTAAAATAATGGGATTTCTCCTCTGATAACTGAATAGTACTAAGCCTCTCAGAACCATAAGAACTAGAAGTTCCAGCACTATTAAGAGCAATATTCTGACTGCTTTGAGGAAGAACTCCATCACAGCAAACAGAAGAACCAATTACCAACTCAGGTTCAACAAAAGAGTCATCTTTTGACCAAACCATCATGTTTTGCTTCAGATTAATTTTGGAATTCCCGTTAGAGCAATCATCAAGGCCACAGCAGCCATCCGTCATGAGACCAGAGCTTTCTTGATCAGCAAGTGGCATGTGATCACAAAAGCTTAGATGAGCTACAGATCGCTCCATCAGCAGCTTAAGGTGCAAACTAATAAAAAATGTAGGCGCAGCAGCAAAAGAAAGAGCAAATGGAGGAAGCTTCTGATTGGCAGAATCAAAACAGTGATTAGCACGGACTTTGGTGGACTCTTTAGAAATACCCATCATATTAATTCCTTGCCTAGTTCTCTTCTGCATGACCTGTAGCACAAGTTATAAAAGTTAATCCAGCACCAAGAAGGATAATGAAATATCCAACAAGAGTCAATTAACATTGACCTATAAAAGCCTTGATGCAATTTCAAGAAAATTTAAACAGAGATTGAGATAAAGTTGCATTATTCATTTTTCTAAAATTAAATACAAACATACAACAAATATGTAGATAGCTATTCTGGTTAAATTCTTAACGAAGGAGGGGCACAGTACAAGGAGGTACCTTGAATGAGGATGACTTGCCAGTAGAAGTAATAGAGAACCGGCTTGATCCATTTTGAAGGGCCTGGACATTATCAAATGTGCATTCGGAGATATGGAGCTGCTTACTGAGCAGACAACGACTCTTGAGTTTAGAATCTAGGTACATCCATTTTGAATTCTTCACTCTGGAGAAGTTATAAAATGCAAACACAAGCTGCTTCTTTAAGTCGTATAAACATGAAAACTTGAATCTTATAGATGTAACTGGCAACTGCAAGTCCAAATACATCCCTTGGTCAGCAGGTTGATGAAATACCCTAAGGA